CTGTCCGGCTTCCCCTCATTGATACAAGGCAACACAGGAAGCCTCCCTTGTTGCTGTGGCAGAGCCATGCTCCACTTCACTGCCCCTTTAAGCATGGAGCCCCGCAGGAAGTAGTAATGCATTGTGTAATGGGAGCCGGCAGGCTCTGTGCTTAAAGGGTTGGTGAAGTGGAGCATGCCATCGATTATTCCCGTCTGATGAGGTCATATCTCATGGTAAAATCTTCCCCATTTTGGGGATACTGAGACATGGATGGACACTTCTCATCTGTCATCCTCCTATTATTGGGACATCATGGAAAGGAGCCATGCTGCAAGACCTTCTATCCTATCACTAAATGGACAATAAGGCTCTTGAGTGCTAATTTCTATAAGTGTTTAGTTCTATTGACATTAATGATAGAAAATTGTTGCAGGAATATGGGAAAGGCCTATCCTTTTATAGATATAATGTCTGATGTCCATTTCTCGACATTTTAGGGAAGATTTCTATGAAATCCTGGAGACCCGACCTACTTTATGCGGAATGTACTAATATTCTGATGTGCTACAAAATATGTTACTAACACAATTACTGTAAACACGGCTGTGGCAAAACTGTCATGCCAAATTTTTGAAATGCAAAACAGTGACAACCATACTTAACTTCCTTGTTTCTGCTTAAAGTAGCTTCCTTTCCCATTTTGCAACTTCAGTTGCATGAAACTTTTAACCAGAAGCAATCTCAGCTAAAACAGGCATGTGATGACATCACATTATCATGCAGTCAAGTCAATTTAACACATTCACAGCATCACAAAACAGATCAAGGTGGCAGATCAAGGTGACAGAAAGATCCATTCATTTTGATTCACTGTGAGAGAGTTTCTTGATGACAGCATGAAGCCAGATGAGATTGGAGCAGTCTGTTTTATCTTCACTCTGAATGATGGTTTTCATAACAAAAAATGGAGCATGGTGATCATGGCAACCTGTTTTGGAATATAACTTTTTTTCCCTACCCCATTTGAGCTCTAATTCTGTTACAAAATGCACAAATAAATAAATAAATAAATAAGATTTTTTACTATGGTATCACTAAATTTTGCATCCAGTTCAGATAAGTTTGCTAATACAGGTTGAGTGTTCCTTATCTGGAATGCTCAAGACCAGAAGTGTTCTGTACTTAAGAATCTTTTTGGATTTGGAGTACTTGCACATACATA